TTTTTTTTTTTTTTTGCTTTTTCCCGCTCATGCAATTTGCTTGAAATCAGCCCATGCAATTTGTTTAAATTAGATACCGAATATTGTTAACTAAGATGATAAGATTTTGGTAAGAAAATCGGATATTGTTAATTGATACGTGATATGGTAAACAATTGGATAATATTATGCTAAAATATCGGATATTGTTAATTGTTATTGTTATTTGTTAATTGTTAAACATATTTTCAATTCGAATTATTAATAATGGAAAATTAAATGAAAAAAGATTGTTTATACCCAACTACAATATATACAATCACGACATACATTCAACATCTGTCAAAATGTGATTTTTTTTTTCCAATTCACATATCATTGAGATAAATTGCAACTAATCATATAAAAAAAAAATCCAATAGCTTCCTACAACGTTTTGTTCCATCTTCAAATCAAGTTTTGTTTATTCAACTTCAACTAAAAATTTATTTAGTTTTGCCATTCTTTTCTAATTTTCATATTTATCTGAAAATCTTTTCATTTTTATAAATTTGTTTTTTTATTCATGCGATCAATTTTCAATAATTCACAATAAGATAAATTTTACAAATTCGATTTGTTTTACAGATCATGTCTATACAAAAAAAAATGATTAAGATCTTTATAAAAAAATATAATAAAGAATTACAAATTAGATTTGATTTACAAATCATGTTTGGAAATATAATTATAATTAAGGCAGATATAATTATAAATCGACTGTACAACTAATAAATTTTCAATAATTTAGAATAAGATTTACAAATTTGAATCAAACAATTTTGAATACTATTAAACAATTTTGATAAGCCCAATCAAGTTTGGTTATGAACGAATCAAACAATTTTGAATAATATTAAATTAATCGATTACTATTAAATTAATTTTATTTGATTTTCACATCTAAAATTTTCCAAAATACTTTTTTTTTTTTTTTTGAAAATGGCGGCTGGATGAAAAAGTCAAATTCAAATTAAAAAAATTGTTATTTTGAAAATGATATTTTGTAAACTTTAATTCATAAAAATATGGTCAATGATATCTTTAAATACAACGGGTAAATATGGTCAATGATATCATAAATTATTTTTTATATTCTGATAGTTCAACTTAATTGATGATTTTTTTGTCAATATTTACTTAACCTCAAAATATTTTAAAGTTTACAAAGAATCTCACTTTATGTGGGTTCTTGGTATTTTTTTTGTACATATTCATTTTTCATCTCATATACAAATACAAATTTAAATGCAGATATTAAATGTATCGTATTTATTAGAAATATATATATATATTAAAAAAGTATGACAATCATATAATTAATTTTATCATATATCATATGTTGGATGTTATTAGTTTGGTTGGAGACACTCATTATATTTAAATAAATAATATATGATTTTTTATATTTGGTATTTATTTTCTTACAATAATAAGATGTTAACATAAATAACTATGTTTAATATAAAGTCTTAGAAAAAGTTTTAAGTAAAAAGTTCGTCCGTACATCGCACAGGAATACACACTACTAATATACAAATGCTAATGCTAATCATTTTTAGGAGTAAGATTTTTTCCGCCACGCGTAAGCTCAAATTCCACACACCCATTTTAACCGTCACAAGCCGGCGACCGGCGTGAGTTCCAACCTTTGCTCTCCTGTCATGGCGGCTCCTCTCTCCGCAACGAAGCCGTACGGCGTCGCCGCCGCAAATGTGAAAGCTCACGTCCACGTCTCATACGACCTCGTGTGCTCGAAGCCGACGCTGAATCTCCACCACTGCCCTAAATTTCAGCTTAGCAATTTTCCCCAAGCCAAATCTCCCTTGAAATGTAATTTACGGGTACAAAAACCTCCATCCGCCATATCCGGCGCCCCAGGTAAGCTTGGACATGGTTTTAATGCGATCTTATCACCTTCGTGTTATTATTCATCGGCCATGGAGTCCGCTCTAGGGATTAATAATTGTTTATATATTGATATTTTTTGCACGCTTACAACTTGAAATTCGAAGGATAAAGTTTTAGTGATGACTAATGACACACTCAATAAACTCTGCAAAGAGCTTTGAAGTTTGATGTATTTATGGATATTGTAATTGTTTTGGCGATAAATTGCTTGGACACTATCAGTTGAGTGGGGTTCGTAGTTAGAGCTGTAAATGAGCTGACCTAACGAGCTGAGTAAGGTAATAAATCTCCCTATTTCTTGAGCTTAACGAGCGTCAACTAAACAAGCTTGAGTTTGGCTCGTTTATCAAACCAGACGATCCGAACTCGAGCCGAGCCAAGCCAAGCCAAGCCCACGAGCAGCTACGTTTATTTGTTTAACAGCTCTATTCATAATTAGTATATTTTGTAACGTGTTCAGCATAAATGCAATGAGTTTGTAAAAAATCACAGCATCTTATTATTGCTGGCTTGAACTGAGGCAGCTAGCTACTTTGCAGTAAAAAGGAAATCAATGTGAGTTACAATAGAGCATTAAGTTGAGATGCTGAAAAATATCAAAATGAAACGAAAAATCTGCCATTAACCTTGTAAGTTGAAGTGGGTTGACGATGATTTAAATGTTTCTGCAATTCAGGTGCCGAGAGTTCAGCCGGAACTGAGGATACCACGTTCTCTCTGGATAATGTGCAAGTGTTTGACTTGAATGGAAGTGGAATTCCAATTTCCGATTTGTGGAAAGATAGGAAAGCTGTGGTTGCATTTGCCCGTCATTTTGGGTAATCATTTTGATCCGCCTGCTTTAATAATTTATTGTTAGGCACTGCATTGGTGCTTGTAATCCATTTTTGTTTGCAGATGCGTACTCTGCCTAAAACGAGCTGATTACCTTGCAGCTGAGAAGGTAAAATGTTGAAACAGGACAGGGAAACTAATTCAATATGTTATGTAAATGAAAACATTGTTCAAGGAATAGATTTGTTATAGGCACCTTGCATCACTTGTAAAATCAGAGTATTGGGATGACACAACCTTTCCAAATTGCAAGTAAGTAACTATGTTTCTAAAAAATAAGTAAAATGTAACATTAACGACTAGATCAAATAGCATAAGTCTTACTACTGTTCATTTTCTATCTGGAACTGATTTTTTTAGTGATTCTACTAAATCAGAGCAGCTGTCTTTGTCTTTCCATCTATGTTTGCCTACTCGTTTTATGTTAGTGGGATCGGATTTTACGTCAGTTAGAATTGAGATGCGTTATTTCTGACATCTTTAACACTTGAAGGATCAAGTTGAAGGTTCCTATTAGATATTGCACTACTTTTTTCACAGGATAAGATGGATGCTGCTGGGGTGGCGCTTGTTTTAATTGGGCCCGGCAGTGTTGATCAGGTATATAATGTTGTCACTCCTGGTCTTTAGTTCTTGATGGGCAAGCACAATAAGAATCCAAGAGAAATTGGATTTAATCTGTTTGTTTTCGTCAATTTGTTTCTTTTTATTTCCCCCCATTAATCTGTTGGCACCGCAGAAAAGTTAAGAGTTATATTGGGTGTTTGACTAGCTTTTCTTGTATCAGGCAAAAAAGTTCTTTGAGCAGACCAAATTTAAAGGAGGTAAGTTTTCAGATTGGTTATGTTATCAAACCCTTTTAATCAGGCATGAGTATTGGAAGTCCAAGATTGGCACGTTATGTCAGGACAAGTGTTTTTAATAACCATTTGGCTTTATTTTTGTTGTCATGTTGTATCTGATTGAAGGAATGCATCTAAATCATTTCATCGAACCCATACTCTTGAGTTGGCAGGAAGTGCCATGTGGCAATCTCATATGTTGAAATCTACCTCTATAAAATTACAAAGTATAAGAACCGGGAGAGAGAAAATCATAAATACCGTCTAAAAATGTCACCTGATCAGTATTTCATCTGATGCGTCGCAAAATCTGGATTGTAAGTTTTGACCGAAAGTTATTTTAGTAAGCTTTTTCCATTGCAGAGATATATGCGGACCCTAGCTATGCGTCATATAAGGCACTGAATTTTGTATCTGGTGTTACGACCACATTTACTCCTGGGGTATGGCAAAGCACCAAATTTCTCTCTATTACATATTATTATTATTCGTCATAAGTTAGTGGCTACACTATTTTTTTCCTTTTCTGAAGGTGCATCTAAGATTTTTTTTTTTCAATTAATATCTTCTTCTCAGGCTGGCTTGAAGATAATTGAGGCATATGTTGAAGGATATCGGCAAGACTGGGCTCTATCTTTTGAGAAGGATACCCGGACAAGAGGTGGCTGGTAATATGTTCAATGTCAACAACAAAAGCAGTCTTATTCGAGTTAAAATATTGTTTTCACGCCCATATCTGGTTAATATGATGAATTTAAAAGCTTCCGTCAAGTTTTAAACGAGATTTTGGTGACGTTTATAGACACTAAAGCTTTTCCCCTGCTGCATTAGGGTTACAACTATTTAGCTAGACGAGTTTTGTGAAGTAATTTTGTGACCCGACATATATTTATATTGAATAGTTATTGTTCGCTTTGCAGGCAGCAAGGCGGCATCCTTGTGGCAGGCCCTGGTAAAAGAAACATCTCGTATATCCACAAGGTTATTTATTTATTCCCTATTCATCCTCAAGTCCATATATTGAGATAGTCGGCTAAACAATATAGATAGAACTTGGAAGTTTTTCCCTTCCATTTGAGTTTGATGATGCATGTGAATCCAAATTCCATGGGAAATGCTCTAATATTATCTACTCGATATATTTCGTTTTGATTTGTTCCAGTTAGAAAACAATAAAGTTCGTCAACTTATTAGTTTCCAATTAAACTTTTCTGCAAATGTTTGGTTTACGTAGGACAAAGAAGCAGGTGACGATCCAGATATACAAGATATCTTGAAGGCTTGCTGTTTGCAAGGTAAATGAAAAGCAGTCTCGAGGTTTTGTATAATTTCCTATTGTATATATAATTAGTACATATAATTATATATGTTTATACACAACATATCAAAACTTGTGGATCTTGCATTTGTAACTGGTCAGTGGAATAAAATGTAATATTCAGCTATAGGAAATTATATTCATAATTGAATATATATGCTCCATTTTTCATCTTCCTAATTGTATTTGCCCATTAATACATTGTTATTAGTGATAGTTGGGTGTAATAAACTATGAAATATTCATAACATGTGTTTTTTCATATATAAATTATGCAAAATGAATAAAACCAAATAATAAGTCATCGCTTTTAGTTTTTACATTTTTTTTCCTAATTGTATTTGTCCGTCAATCACATTGTTATTAATAATAATTAGGCTTTTAGTTTTTTTTTTTTTTTTTTTTTT